CCTGCTCTAGGTGGAGAATTACCAGGGTAAGGAATTCCAGACATCAGTTCCAAGGGAGATAATTGAATATCTGCCCTCAGTCTGGCACTTCTTCTTGCCAGAGCCAATGGCAAAAGCTGTACCCATGGTATCTTGGTTTCTATTTCTAGCTTTAAAAGGTGCTTCTTTATTTCTTCACTCATTTTTTTTTCTACCTGACCTGAGCTCTGGGGGTGCCAGGAGGGATGGAGGTTCCATTGTATTCCTAAACCAGTCATAACCCCTTGGAGAGTTTTACCTGTAAAATTAGTTCCTCTGTCTGAGTCTATTGCATCAATGATCCCATATCTTCAAATTATTTGTTCCAAAAATACTTATATAACTGATCCTGTAGTTGCTGAAGCAGTTGGAAATGCTTCTGGCCACCCTGTTAGCTGACATGCTGTTACCAGAAGATATTTCAGCCTTCCCACTTGGGGCAATCTGGTAAAATCCACCTGGCATCTTTGGAAGGGACATAGGACAAAGTCCAAGGCCTCCCTCCTCTGGCAAGTTTCTTTTTAACTTGCTGTTGTGAGAAACAACTGCTCACTTTGAAAATTTAAAAGCTTTATTAAACCTTGACAAAAATACAACAAAAGGACTGCATAAGGAAAAATTGGCAGCACTGGGAACTGTCCTGATGGATACCCCATGGCCAGTTCATCTTCAAGATGTATGCTCATTCTTTTATACCCCTGGCCCTTCCCAAAGTCTGTCAGGCAGCTCTTCTGTGCCATTTATTGGTGGAGATGCTTGCTTGTAACTGGATTGGAGGCCAGGTGTTGCCATGCCTCACCCCCTGAGCACCAAGCTTCCATTCCCAACTGCCCCATGCAAGGGAGGTGTGCACACCTTCTTTCTGCCTGTCTTAGGCAGCAATACAGAGGGGGGGAAAGGATCTATGGGGAGAACAGAGGACATCTAAACTAGAATAACATAACTATACATCACTAAAGCTTTTCTTAATATACACACAATAGTCATCCTTTAATTGCAAGAGCCAATCATCTCATTATCTACCTGTAGCAGTGTCTAGGGGATGGCTATTTGTCTCGTATAGTTTTTGGGGTTCATTGTTTTGTTTTTTGTCTGGGACGGTTGCTGCTCCGGGAGTATTGCAATGAGTGGGAGCCAGGTTGGGGTTTCTGGAGAGAGTTTGGGGCAGGGTGTGGGGCAGCTCCTTTCCTTCCAGCCAGCTGTTGGAGTGGCCACACTGCTGGTGTTTCTGACCGGGGATCCTGTTGCTTCTGTGGGTTCTGTCTGTTTCTTTTTGTTTCTTTTCCTTTGGCGCTGTGACTGGGCTTGCTGGCTTGCTTCTCTGCTGCTTGGGAGCCCAGAGCCGGTGCGTGCTGTGCCAGGAGTGGGAGCACCCCGTTCCCCACCAGGGGCTGCCTCCTCTGCACAAGTCCAGAGCCCAGGACCAGCCACTGCCGGTGAGGAATGGCAGGGAGCGATTCCCTGTCAGGCCCCACTGACAGACTGTAACCCAGCACCTGGACACCCCACAGCTTCGGGCAGGGCCCTGGGGTTTCTGCTGCCTCTCGCCTGCTGCCCCGGGTGAGCCTGCCCTGCCATTGCAGCTTGCTGCTCCTGAAGTTCTGCCTGTAGCTCCTGTTGCTATCCATGGGGAGCACTGGGACCAGCTGCCCTGGGGGGTTTGTAAAGGAAATCCCTTTTCCATCCATTAATTTCAAAATTATAATAATTATGAGGAAAGGTGGTCATATTCTCCATTCCTAGGTTCCAGCCTTCCTTGGCCAACACGTCTTTCAAACCTTGGTGTTAGCACAAATCAAGCAACCTTTAGGAGCTTGTTTTGCCATACCAAAAATACCCAAGGACATTTTGAGTAAGGCTTCTGCCAGTCCTCAGGAACTCCAAAGGGCTCCCTGCATGGAGCTGTTTCAATATTTGTAAGGCCAGGGGCTTTGCTATCCGGCCCTGGCAGCCCGGTGGAGTGGTGGAGCCTGGAGATGAGCAGGGTCCAGGAGATGAAGGGGTCGCCAAGAGAGGGATGAGCCTTGAGTGCCTGGAGTGGGGGGAGCCTGGGACCCCTGGGAGCCAAAGCAGAATTAAGGGGGAAGGGACTTGTGGGACCTGCAAACCCTCCAGGCATCCCAAAGCAGGACCCCAGAGTGGGAGAATCCATAGGACCCCCAGCAGCCCCAAGAAGGGGGGCCTCAGAACCTCAGAGTGAGGAGATTAGAAAGGGAAAGGCTTGTTTGGGATTCACTCTTGTTTATTGGAGGTTTTACGGACACCAGACACCTGGTGACTTCTAGAGATGGACTTGGGCAGGAGGAACACCCAAGGCACTCACACCTTGTTTACCCCCAAAACCAGAATTTCTCATTCTCAAAGCTTGGTCAGATGGAGAAGGAGGCTGCGAGGAAGATGCCGTGGAACAGCCAGGCAGGTGAGGAGGAAGTCAGTGCCCCTTTTCCCCTCTCTCCTGCTCCATCTCCCAGCTCAGCACAGCCCCGGCTGCAGGACAGCCCCGGTGCCGGTGCCGTCCTGCCAGGGAGTATCTCTGGAGATACTTTGGGAGTATCTCCTTCCCCTTCCCTCTGGCACAGAGGCAAATCCCATCGTCTCATTGTCCTTCCTCCTCCAGAATAGGAGCCGAGGATGGAGAGCAGGGAGGGCAAATCCCCACAGCAGGACCTTGTGGAAGAGGCTGTTTTGAGTGATTCCATAGTGCAGGAATCCAACGGGAAGGAAAAGCCCCAGAGATCCCGCACGAGGAGGGGCTGCAAACCCAGCCCTGGGATCTGTGAGGAGGAAAGGCCTGCCCTGTGCCAGGAGGGTGGACAGAGCTTCAGCCAGAGCTCAGACATGGTGGTCACTGAGCACCATCAAAGCAGGGAGAAGTCATACAAGTGTGGGGAATGTGAGAGGAGCTTCAGCCACATCTCCAACCTGAAGAAACACCAGAGGATCCACACTGGGGAGAAGCCCTACAAGTGTAGGGAATGTGGGAAGAGCTTCAGCCGTAGCAACAACCTGGCCCGTCATGAGAATACTCATGATAATGAAAGGCCTTCCAAGCGCTCTGAACGTGGGAAGAGCTTTAGAGAGACATCCAAACTAAACCAGCACAAGATAAATTGCTCTGGGGAACAGCCCTATGTGTGTGAGGAATGTGGGAAGAACTTCAGCCAGAAATCCAACCTGCTCCGCCACCAGAAGATCCACACTGGGGAGAGGCCCCACAAATGTCCCAAATGTGGGAAGAGCTTCAGCCAGAGCACCCACTTGGATGTCCACCAGTGCATTGACACCAGGGAACAGCCCAACAACTGTGAGAAATGTGGGAAGAGCTTCGGGAAGATTCACAACCACTTGTGTGTGGAAATCAGGATATGTGACAGCTACAAGTGCTGGACATGTGAGAAGAGCTTCAGCCGGAGGTCCCACCTAATAGTCCACATGCGCATCCACACTGGGCAGCAGCCCTACAGGTGTGAGCAGTGTGGGATGAGCTTCAGAGATCGCTCCAACCTGAACCACCACCGGCGGACCCACACTGGGGCACGGCCCTACCTGTGTGAGCAGTGTGGGAAGAGCTTCCCCAGGGGCTCTCACTTGTCCCAGCACCGACAGAAGCATTGGTAAGGAAAGCTCCGCAAATGCCCTGACTGCAGGGATTTTGGGACATCCCACATTTTGGAAGTGGTTTTGGGGTACTCTCCAATTCTTGGGGGGTTCCTGAGAACAGCTCCATGGAGCCCCATTGCCAGGGTGGTTGTCTTGGGCACGGGCTCAGAGCTGTAGCCAGAGTCTGTTGCCTCAGTGTTGGAGAGCAGAGAAATGATGAACGGCCCCAGACATCTCCAGTGTGAATTGGGAGGTCAGAGCAAGTTCTGTGTAGGTGGGGTGGCTGCTGCCCCACCCCAGCCACTGCCGCCTCTGGTGCAGCCCCAAAGTGGCTGCCAGGCCTGTGGCACCCCAAAAACCCCACCTGGGAGAGGGACCAGAGCAGGTAAAGGCCATGACATGGGTGTGACACTGGCACATCCCATATCAGCTGAGATTACTCTAGATCTAAAGCCTTGGCTGTGGATATTTCTTTTCTTTTTCTCTCTCTTGCTCTGTCTCTCCCTCTCACTCTTTTCCTGACTTCTCAAAATCTGGATTACTTGAAGTTGGACAGGTTAGAGTTAGCTGAGTCAGTGCTTTGTGAAGTGCCTTACCATAATTCCAGGTTTAATATAAGTTATAAGCTAAATTAAACACTTCCCCTCTGTAAATTGTTAAGTCTTAAGTTGGGTTAAATACTGTTAATTGCTGTTCCTTTGCTAAATTGTTATGTTTAAGATATAAGTTAAGGTTAAGTTAAATTTGAGTGTTTGAGTGCTGTTAAGCTTTTAGGCCATATTCCCTTTATCCTTCCCCCCACTGTCCTTTTGTCAGATGCACCTAAACACACATGGACGGTTCTTGGTTCATTTCTGGTTTGATTGCCTGGATTTTGTTTTGCTTTGTTGTTGCTTTGTTTCCTTGCTGTGCCTGAAGTCTCCAGTCACAGGCAGAGTGACTCTTGCCAAAGAACTTTGTCGTGCCTCACCACCTGTGCTTCTAATTGGTGATTTTTGTCAAATATGCTAATTTGCTAAACTTATAAACTATTTACCCCATGGTGGGGTGGGCATTGTGTGGACATCTTCCATATTTGCCCCTTGGAGGCCTCTAATAAAGACCAGCCTTTATATTACCTCCTGTACTGATATGATCTCCAAAGGGTGTTATTTCATTTCTAAGGCTTTTAAGGCATCAGTTTTTCTGGCATCTCAGATGGGACTGGACCCAGCAGCCTCCCTCTGGACCAGAAACATATTGCAAGGAACTCTTTCCTGCTGAAGACTTTTAAGAATTTCCGTGCAGTGACCTGAGGGGTTAGGAGCCACGGTCCCAGGACCCCACAGGAGGTAACATAAAGGCAGCTCTTTTTGTTGTGTAGCGTGAAATTGTGCATTTGTGTGTTTTCAGGAAAATCAAGGCTCTTAGAAACCAAATTGTAACATTTTACAGGATGCCACCTGTTTCGTAAGGTTTGTTAGGCTTTTATTCTGTCCCAGCGGGGTGAGGGAATTTGCTTATGGGGTTGTTTCTCAAGGTTTTTTTTTTCCCTTTCATCACTTTTTCTAACTCTTCTACAGCCACGGTGAGCGAAGGAATCCAAAGGCTGATGTCACCCTTGTAGCTGAAAGCTGAGAACTTCTTTCAACCTTTAAAATATGAATTAGGAAAACACTGGGTGATTCATCACTCACCCTATTTGCCAAATGCTTCTAAGAAGGATCTGTTGGAATTTTGCAAAGTGTGGAGAATAACAGATAGTTGAGGAGGGTTTACTGAATTAAATTTTAAAAATGCCTTCTGCATCCCTGTGAATAAGAAAGGCCAAGGACTGAGCGAAGGAAAGAATGTAAAAATATGGACTAATTCTGAATATGCATTTAATGTTTTCGGAGAGGTCATCTGGAAAGAGAGAGGACTGGCAACTGTTCAAGGCCTGGAATTGAACACACTGAACAGACCCATCCACTGCTACAGAGTATTAAGAAGTCTGGAGAAGCAGCCTTTATACATTGCAAGATTCATCAAAATGGGGAAGCAACTCTTGAGTTAGAGAATCCTTTTGTTGATAAAATAGTAAAAGAAGCAAGAAAAAGGATCTTAACAGTGGTACTACAGAAGGAAATCAGTTTGACAAGGTTTGCCCGAAAATGTGATCAACAGAGCCATCAGTTTTCTGGCACAAAGGTTGAAATCAAGTAAAGTGAATGGACTGTTACACCAGAGGGACAGACTGCAGTCCCACCTCAGCAAGAACATAAAAAACACTTGCAAGGGAACAAGAAACCTTTTGAAACATTAAGAAAGCAGTAATAGAAAGGGAAAAAAACTGATATTGTACAATCTGTAACAAATGTGAAATCTTCTCTGGAACCCACCCAAACATGAGCAAAAGAGTTGTGTTAGAAATATCAGGGGCAGGGGGTTCTCCTGGACATTGTTGGCAAATAAATTCTACTGAGTTACCACCCAGAAAGGACAAAGGTTTGTATTAGGGGTAGGTGATACCTTCAGTGGATGGTCTGAGGCTTACCCCTGTTGCACCAACACAACAAAAGGAAGTGGTGGATATTTTACTAAATCATATAATTCCAGTGTTTGGGGTTCCTTTGGAGTTGGTCCCCCTGTGATTGGAGATGTTAGTCAAACGTTGGGAATTGTTTGGGATCTATAAATTCCCTACACACCCCAGATAAATGGTAAGACTGCGTGTGTGACTGGAACCCTCAAAGCACAGATATATAAAATTTGTTGGAAACATCCGTGACATGAGTTCAGGTTTTACCCAGAGCCTTACTGAGAATCCACATACAACCAAAGTGTTGCAGTAAGGTAGAAAAATTATTAAAAAAGGGCTCATAAAATCAGGCCTGCTCTGTTAGATCAGTGACCTCGTCAACCTAGCACTTTGCAAGTTCCCATGTGAAAGCAATCCTGGTGTGAAGAGTTTGTTAACATAACAATTTATTCCCGGATGAAAAACAACTAGTGCCTGCATAAACATTAAATCTATCCCATGAGAACTAGAGAAGAAAATAATTTTATAGGGAGAAAAAAACAATTTTATAGAGAGATTTTATGGACAAATAAAGTATCTCTTACTAACCAATAAAGTAATTGGCAAGAAAGCTACTAACCCAATTGGAATCACACACAAGGTATGTAAAACTGTATAAAAACGAGTTACTTGAATAAAGAATGAAGTCTTTTTAACGATGAAGAAAATAAAGTCTCATGTGATTTATTCCTATACCAAAGCAAAAAGAGAGCGTAAGTCCTAATGAAACATCACATGGCCGGCCATATCAAATTGTATATATTATATATGTTATATATATAATTTACATATATATATAATTATGTATATATATTCACAGGAGGAATTCATATATGAGGGGAAAAATTAACTTACAGAGGGATTTAATTGTTTGAAGTTCCACTTTGCAGAAGCTCCAGAGATTTGTCATATTGTCTGGGGAAATCTCTGCTGAAACAGCTGGAAAACAGAGACTGACACAAATCAGGATGATGTGGTTTAAATTGTTCTTTTTGTGCTTGTTATCTGCACAGTTGGTAACCATAACTCAAGTTTGGCCCCAAAATTTGCATGTAAATGGAGCCCAAAGTGTATCCAAAAGCTCTTCATAAGAACAACTTGTCAGGGTGATACTGCACATATGAGAATCTGGCCTGGTAAGTTTGCCCCTAGATTAGATAAAGATCAGGCCGGTGCTCTTGGGGCTGTAATTCCACACATTATATCTGATCACATTAAGGATTATTGGACACACTGAAAGGCAAAACTTCAAACGCAATTTCAGCCTTACAAGAAGAAGTCCGTGATATTTCTGGTATAGTTTTACCAAACAGGTTAACGTTCAATTTCCTACTAGCCACAGAATTATTAACACTGTAGTTGTTAGTATGTAGATCAGAGTGAAAGAATTATTAAAGATTTGGTTGAAATTTGAAAGCAAACTCAAATTCTACACCAGATAGCTTTCAAAAGTCTTGTTGAACTTTGGATATATCTTCAGTACACTCACTTCATGGTTGCTAAAGTGGGCCTGAATAAAAAGTGTATAGCTGACATCTATAATATGATGCTGTGGTTAAATATGGAGCAAACTAGACTACATAGTGTCTAAAAAAGAGGAATTATGCAGAAATTCTGCCTTGTTTCTTTTATATAGTCTCTGCATTCTTTACTCATTTATAATAACAAACTGCAGAGCTATATTTGTAGCTCTGTAGTCTGTTGTTGTAGCTTAGCTTCACTATTTCCCTACACAGAAAGACAAAACACATTTCAAAGCCTCTGTCCTGTTTTGGTTCTCCTTAGAAACCAAGGTCAAAACCAGGTCTTCAGGACCAATTCTCATAAACAAAGTACAGTGCTGTTGGAGGGTGTTCTAGGGCGATGTTATGATGCTTGGATGCCCCATCATGTGTTCTGTCTGCGCTGGGTGTTCTATTCTGTGCCTTCAAGACTGGCTGAAAGCAAAGGCAGGGAGAAGAAGCACAGAGTTTGTTACCAGCCTCACTCACTCACTCACTCACTCACTCACTCACTCACTCACTCACTCACTCACTCACTCACTCCTCCACATTTGGCTAGACCGTTGATGTCTAGGCACAGACGGGGCAGAGCACCACACTCCTTTTGCTTTTTACTTAGTTGGTTAGTTTAGCTAGCTGAGCCAGTCTGAGTTTTCTCTGGACTGTTTTTCTTTCCCTTTTTCTTAGAGCCATTTGAAGCTGCTCCAGAGCGGGACCTGGGGAATCACCCAGAGCTCAGACTCTGCAGCCATTGCCAGCGCCGGAGGGACCACCCACCAGAGACACTTTCTGAATTTGTCATCTCTTCAGAGCAGCAAGTGAGTGTTGTCATCTGGTATTGTTCATTCTGTGAGCTGGGGAGTACTTTACCTATTAAATAAACAGGGTTTTTCCACTTCTCTCTGAAGAAACTTGTCCCTAACTGATTGAAGAAGAGAGGCTGTGTAGGTTGGCTTTCTGGAGGGGCCTCTTTTGGAGGCTTTCTCCCAGATTTGTCCTAAACCAAGACCAGAGGGGGGGAAGGCTTAGAAGACCCAGGGGGGAATTACATCACCACTTGCACTCCTAATTGGTGATTTTTGTCAACAATGCTAATCTGCTAAACTTGCAAAACTGTATTCACCCTTTGTGGTGGGTGTGGGCATTTCGTGGACATTTTTCATATCTGCTCCTGGAGGTCTCCAATAAAGACCAGCTTTTATATTACCTCCTATACAAATACTATCTCCAAAAGGTGTTGCTTTATTTCTCAGTTCTTTAAGGCCTCACAGAGTGGGGCCTCATGGCATGCAGGAGACCACCATGACATAATGACATCTTGGGGAACTGAGTGTCACCTGCAAACACAACAGGGCCTCATGGAACCCAGGTGCCACTTGAATAGTGCCCGGGCACATGGAATTCAGTGTCCATTGTGACACAGCACGGCCACATGGAACTCAGCAGAACATTGTGACAACATGGAATCTCATGGAACCAAAGCTGTGCTTTGACAAAGTGGGGCCTCCTGGGACACAGGTGCCACTGGGATGTTGCCAGCGCTGGTATAACCCAGTGCCCATTGTGACACAGCGCAGCCTCATGGAGCTGTCTTGGGGATGGTTCACATAACCATTTTGGGGTTTCTTTGTTTTGTGTTCATAATGGTCACTGCCTCCCCTCCCCAGCTCTGAGAATATCGCAATGGGTGGAGGGGCAGCCTGAGGTCCTGTGGGGGCTGGGGGCCAGAGGCTGCTCTTCCGTCAGGCTGGGGTGATCAACTCAGCAGCTATGCAGCACAGTGCATCTCATTTGAGACACTGTTGCCCTGCAGTTTTGGCCTTTTGCTTTTTTCCTCGTTTTCTTTTTTCTCCTTTGGCACTGTGACTAGGGTTGCCAGCTTGCTTCTCTGCTCCTCTGCCACTTGAGAGCCCAGGGCTGGTGTGCTGGGAGCTGGGAGCACACCTTCCCCTACCAGGCTGCTCCCTTTGCGTGGTGACCCAGCCTCAGGACCAGACATCACCAGTGAGCCATGCAAAGGAGAAATCTCCCACCCAGCTGCTGCTTAATTATTAATTTTCTGCCACTGCTTAATTAAGGGTTTTTTGCTACACTATAGTGCAACACCCTGCATCCATCAGGACAGCCCGCTGCTTCTGCTTCTGCCACCGCTCCAGGGTTAGCGCTACACTTTCATTCACCACCCCCGGGGATCTGCTCCCCTGTGTTCCAGCTGACACTCCGAGGTTCCTGCTGCCGTCCATTTGCCCCTGCAGTGGCGCTGAGGCCGGCTGCTCGCCGTGGCTCTGGCGAAAGGAGCCCCTTTCCTGTCCCTGCCGCCCCAGAGCCG